CAGCACACCTCATGTAAACATGAAAGGCAATAGGCAATTAAGTAGGAAAATAGAAAATAATAAATTACTTTGTATTTTACAATAAAATTTACTTACAAAAACAATAATTATAAACAATTTACTTTGTAAGACCAGCCCGTAAACAGAATGTTGTGTTTTAATGTAATCTTAATCTTATTGTTTTAATAAGATTTAACTTTAATGAAATTTATTTGCCAACTTGAAGGAAATAAAACTACTGTTCCAAACAAAATTACTGGTCAAGTGGCTTGAAATTATGAAGGCTCTCTATAAATGTTTGTTACACAAGTTCTAATAAGGCCCTATTATATGATAATATACATTTAATTAAAAAATAGGTACGACTTTTTTGCTTTTTAAGATTTCAGATTAGTATGGTCTAGTACTGTATGATTATTCTAGAATTTGTATTTAAATTTAATTAGTTATTTGCTGAATACAGTAACTGAAAAAGTTTTTAACAAATTCCCAGACATTCACTTTACTGCAGGTTGTGTTTAAAAAATCTATAGAATTGGGAAAAATATAACTAATAGGAATGCAACGCCAATATATGTGAAATTTTCCTCTGATTATTACAGTGCAGCAATCTTACGGAACATGAAAGTTCTGAAAAACTCGAAAATTTTCATCTCTGGTGATCTCACCAAAACTAGATTTGAGCTTTTAATTTCTGTTAAAGAAAAACTTGGAAAAACTAATGTGTGGAGTCTTCAAGGTAAAATCTATGTGAAGAGGAATGACAATATTTATGTTATTTATACCAGAGAAGACTTCTGTTAGAATAATGGTAGGCCGCTCAATAGCGTCATTCGTTTGATCACTTTTTTTTTCTTGCAACCTTTTCTTTGCTTTTGTTTTTTTAGTTAAGTAAGTATATTGTTAATATTATATAATTATCACTCTTTTATTTTCTTATATATATTTTTGTACCAGTCGTACCCATATATTTATATATTTTTATTTTTTCGTATTTACTACTGTAGGCTTTCTATACTGTTTTATATTTCTTATTATCTTGATAAAATTATTATATTGGCTTTATGTTTTCTTTAATTAATGATTATTTTGGATTCTTAATATATAAATTTTAATGTATTTAAGTTTTGCGCATCTTTATGTTCAATCAATTTTTACCAATTTTGACATCCTAAAAAACTATATCGTAACGGAAGATATTGATATATCTGCTGTGACAGAAACTTGGTTAGATTCAAATAATCTGCGGGTTTTTATTAATATTCCGAATTATACTTTAGTTAGGGCGGACAGGCTTGGCAGAGGCGGAGGCGTTGGGTTTTTTGTAAAAACAATTATGGATTTCTGTTAAGATCACGGGTCGATGCGGTGCTTTTGGGGTTTTCTACCGTCCACCTAGTCAAAGTATTCCTGATGCTTTTAATTTATTTGACGATGCTATGTCACAGATTTTACATTCCTCGGATTTTGTTTTAGCGAGCGATTTAGATATGGATTTTATGTTACCTAATCCTCCGGGTGTTACTTATTTTCATAACTTTATCCAATCTTATAATTTATCACAATTAATTAATGAGCCAATACGGGTCACTGCGAATTCACAAACTTTACTTGATATCTTGCTAACATCTAATGTAGATTTAGTAATATCTTCCAAGGTAACTCACTCTGGAGGGATATTTGATCATTCTATTGTTTCATGTTCAATGAATTTTAGTAAGCGTAACAATCCCATACGGTTTGTTACGTATAGAGATTTTAAATACTTCGATGATCATTTATTTCATCAAGATTTGTCTATTATAAATTGGAATCAAATTTACAGTCTTCAGAGTGTAGATGCCAGGCTTGATTATGTTAATTCTAATTTACTTGAACTTTTTGATAAGCATGCACCTTTGCGTACTGTTAGAGTGACTAAAAGACGTGCCCCATATCTCACCGACACCATTAAGGAGATGATTAAGTTAAGAGATAAGGCTTATCATAAATACAAAAAGTTTCGATTAGGTAGAGATCGGTCCTGTTATAAAGATCTTAGAAATTATGTCACTGGGGCTATCCGTAGGGGAAAAAAGTCGTATTTATTTTGGGTCCTTAAAAATACAAATACTAGATCCACTTGGAATACCTTGAGATCTCTGGAGGTTGTCGGTTCAGCAGGTTCAGCTGGAGAATTTTGCCTTCCTATGAAAAGCCTCCCCCTTCCCTTCCCTTCATTTTGCCTTCCCTTTCCTTGCCTTCCTTTTGCCTTACATGATCCCAATGTAATAAATACTTATTTTAATAATGTCATGCCTATTTCATCCTCTCATGAACAGGCTGAATTGCTTAATAAAAATAACAATTATGTTCCATTTAAAAATATTGATAAATTTTATTTTCATACTGTGACCACCAATGATATTAGTAAGTATATTAATTTGATCAAATCTCAATCAGCTGGTTCGGACTATATCTCTGTTATCATGCTCAAATTGGTTGCAGAACATTTATTAAATCACCTTACTTATATAATTAATACATGCATTTTAACGCACACTTTTCCCAGATGTTGGAAAAATGCTAATGTTATTCCGTTGCCGAAAATACCTAATGCTACCGATCTAAATCATCTTCGGCCTATTAGTATCTTGCCTACTATCTCCAAAGTTCTCGAAATGGTTATGAAAACACAAATGTCGCAGTTTATTTTTGATAATGATATTATCCCTTCCTTTCAGTCCGGCTTTAGGCCTCAGCACAGTACCACTACTGCATTAGCACATATTTCAGATGAAATTTATAACGCCACTGATAATGGTTTAATTACGTCCTTGATTCTTTTAGATTATAGCAAGGCGTTCGACACATTGGACCACTCTATCCTTTGTAAAAAGTTAATGTACTTTGGCTTTGACAATAGTGCTGCTTCCTACATTTTTAGTTATTTGTCTGGCAGAACACAGCAAGTAATCATAAACTCTAATGTGTCTGACGTCTTGCCAGTGACTCATGGGGTTCCTCAGGGGTCCATTTTAGGGCCCTTGCTGTTCTCTATTTATATAGCGGATTTATATACATTTTTGAATAAATGTTCTGTGCATCATTACGCTGATGATACCCAAGTGTATCTCAATTGTCGTGTTACGGACTTAGCTGCTTTTAATGATTGTATTAATTACGACTTAAACTCATTGTTAAATATCTCTGCTGCTCATAGATTGAAGCTAAATCCTGACAAATCTAAAGTCATAATTTTTGGTCCTAAAAATAAACGTAATATGGCGAAAATGGAATTGAATTTAAAATTAGGAGATATTTCTTTAAATTTTACCAATGAGTGTAATAACCTGGGACTTTGGTTTGATGAGGAGCTAAGATTTACCAAGCATGTAAACAATCTGTGTCGATCATCGTATAATACCTTAAAGCAACTTTATCCCCATCGTGCCATCATGGATTCATCTCTAAAAATCAGTTTATGTAATTCTTTAATATTTTCAAAGCTCTCATACTGTGACTGTATCTATGGCCCAGCTCTACTACACTCCGATATTCAGCGTTTGCAGCGAATTCAAAATAGTTGTTTTAGATTTGCATATGGAATTAGAAAATTTGAACGAGGAATTACTGAGTTAATTAAAAAACATAATTTTCTTAATCTTTCGTACTCTCGTAAGTTGCACTCTTTATGTTTAACTCATAAAATTCTTCAGCAAAAATGCCCTGTATACTTACATAAAAAATTTAAGAGGCTTCATAAAGCCACTTCGATGTTTAATCCTCGTTATTCGCGTTTATTAGAGATTCCTCGCCACGCCACTGCCCTGTATACTAGAAGTTTTATCTATCACGCCTGTAAAGAATATAATGCTTTGCCCGTTTGTTTTAAGTCATACACTATTTTGAACTTTAAAAAAAAGTTAAAGCAATTTCTTTTGGATGATTTTAATACTAATTAATAATTTGCTGTCACTAAACTGTCTTTTAGGGTGTCGTTAAAAAATTTTTTTGTCACTTTGTCACTACGAGTTTTTTATTTGATTCATATATATGTGTATCTATATATTATTAAATTTATGTTCATATTCTGTAGGGATTATGTTTAGAGATTTTATTATACGTAGGGTATTTTGTGTTCTTCATTTATTCATTTTTTTTTGTTTATTCATACTGTTTCTAGGGGTTAAGTTGAAAAGCAGTTTTAAACTGACACTTCGCCCCTTTACAAGCTTATTATTTTCTATTTGCTTACACGTACATGTACTTGAGCTAAATAATTGTAATAAAAGACATTTATTATTGTTATTATTATTTATTATTTATCGTTAAATACCTTATTTTTCGTAATGTAACAAAGCAACATTATTTTATTAAATCTCATTCACAACTAACTTTACTAAAATAAAATAATAAAGCATTAATGTTTAAGAAATCGCAACATAAATCACGCTATATCGTGAGACAAAATTATAAAACATAGGACATCCTAAAAGAAAGGTTTAATAGTATTGAAAATGTCGTGAAATGGAAAAAATCTAGAAGGATAATGATTTAATGATATGATATGATTTATGATATTTGTACAGATTTAAAAATTAAAGAAAGAAGAGAATCTTTCAAAATGAAAATGGGGATAAAGTGCTATTTACAAAACATAAATTTAAACAAGAAAATCTAAAAATTTATAAAAAAATAATTATTGTTAAAATTTTAATAAAATTATTTTCACTGCTTTTTTTAAATTTTTTTTATTAAATTACACAAACGATCTCAGTGTATTTTTCAAAATGTTTAATTATGCATCATTCGCAATAAAAATGTCATTGCTTTGACTCTTCTGGAAAAAAAAATCAGCCTCTACTACTGTTTGAAGATAAATTGGCTCTCTAGTGGTGGAAAGCCCAGATATACCTAATTTATTAAATGGATAACACGATTAACACGCCACTGGCACTGGAACTAAAAGAAAATTAAAATCGCGAGTGCCTATGTTCGTCATTTGCGCGTTTCGTACATTTCTGTGTGGTAGACTTCTGAATGAGCTGAAGCAGGTATCAGTTAAAAATACATTTTGTGACGAAAGTTTCTTCCCGCGCAGTGAATATTTATAAAAAAATAGTGACCTAATAAGTGAAACAAATACATGAGAATTTCGTTAGGCTGTTGTGTATTGCAAAACGTGGGTATTCCTTTAAAATTTTGAGTATTTGTCTGCTGCTTGTTTAATTTACTTGACAAACTAATTTTTTGTTGTCGAATGTTAAGTAAAATCAACTATTAATTAGTGTGTCGCAATCAAAATAATTTTAGTTATAGGAATCAAATATTACTTAAATCTCTATTCTGTACCTGATTTATATCAAATTATGGTATGTATTGACACTGATTTAAATATTTATATACCGGATAACCCAAGTCACAGGGTCACAATTCCAAATGTGACTAACAAAGTAGATATGGTCCAATCATTTTCTGTTATTTAATTATTCTTTTCTTACATAATACAAAATCAATTAAGACTGTTATTTTATTATAATTACGTGGATACGTGTACGAATATTTAGGCTTTTAATTCATTTTATCATTAAATAAATAGAAAACAGAAAAATGGCCAAATAGAGTTAGCGAATGAACAAAATGCAGTATAGTTCGTTTCTGATTGGTGCTAGCATTATATTAAACATGAGCGAACTAGGCAATAAACGGACTAATTTTACTTTACATTCTTTTTACTTCAGTGCTATTACATTTTATATATTTATTCTAATATTATTTTGGTAAAAATATTTTATTTCTTGGTTCAAATATTCAATTTTAGCTATTGTATAGTTCAATTTTCAAAAAAACATTGCCATTCAAAAGAACTAGAAAGGTTTTTTTCGCTAAAAAAGAACATTAATTTATAACGGTTTTAAAATTGAATTACGATACTTTTTTTGATGCACATAGAACAAATGAACACTATATTTTTTATATCCTCCCTAAATCTCAGTAATTTTTCTGTGTAGTAAACTTTTAGCCGTATATTACACAAAGTACATACATATTTTTAAAATAAATATGCAGAATGTTTCAGATATTTAATTTATATTAAAAAAGAACGAGGATAATGAAAATTAATATTTTGTCTCAAACTACAGACTGTATACAGGAAAAAATTAAGGGAACAGAAACTTTCCAATTTTTTTTAGTCATTTTTGAAAAGCTTCGTGAATAATGGGCGTATCGAGAAAAAAAGAAGCATCTTAAAAATTCTAGTTTTGAAATTTTGAGATGAAAAATTAGTTTGAGCATCATTTTTGGCGCAATCTAAAAAATAATGGAAGTCAAAAATTTTATAAAAAACTGCCCATGGGCTCAGAATAAAGCAAAAAAAAATCATAGTAATCATCATTAATTGATGTTTAAGGTGGCCATATCTGGCTCAGAAATAGTCAAATTTCTGGCGTTTTTAGGTACTGAAATCTTGAAAAATAATACGTGTAGAACAGCCCAAAAATAAAATACTTGATGTTCTGTTTTTTCATTGTTACTATTTAAATTTACTCAAATAAAATAATAACTTAAAAAAGCGTTTGTAAAACATGCGTTTGCTGTTACCCTAACCCCACATTTTAAGAATACACACTTATAAATAAAAGTAAACAATTTTATATGTAGGACTAAGCATAAGCAAGTATATGTTATAAGAATATTTACATGTGGAGTTATACAGGGTGTCCCAGAATAACGTGTACAACGGAAGACCACAGGTTCGTGGACTTAAAATAGGCAGATTTGGGCATAGAAAATACAGTACTATATTTTCTATGGATTTGGACTAATTCACCTATATCCCAAATCGCTTCGTTTGTCCGCTAGATGACCTCAGTTAGTGAAAATTTTTTGAATTTTGTAAATAACTCGAATACTTATTAATCGATTTTGATAATTTTTGTTTTCGATCTACACATTTTGGTATTATACAGAGTGTTTTTTTAAAACCTATAACTTCTACAAAATTGACGTGTGGTAATAATATCCATTCATAACTTTTTCCTGTTTCGGGCAATAATGATTACTATTTTTTGATTTGATAGGTGATACCATTTGGAAGTTTTTAGGACTCTTGTAGAATTTTGATTAAATGAACGGTTTGGGTACAAAAAAATATTTTTTGAATGACTACATTATTTTGCCACCCATATTACAATACCTAACAAAGTGCTAGTAGGCACAGATTTCGTAGGTTGACTGTAATTTCAGTTTGATCTTTAAGTCATTGTACCTGGCATTTCATAATGAGTGTTTACTTACCATAGGCGCCGACTTTTAAAACTTTGTCGGGTGCTCGGTTGCCTTATAGGCATTTTTTTGCCAGATAACATTAAACAGCAAGAGAAATGAGTTGTCATTTGAAATAGCATGAGGTAAAAGATTTAAAATACGTATTTCTCCGAATTAGATTTTATAAAAAACTTTTTAAAAAATATATCGAAATTAATGAAACTTGTCAAAATAAATAAACTTTATTACTGTTTCGATACAAAATTCAAAAATTTAACAATTTCAATAATTTTAAGAAAAAAATAAACTTACAATAAGTGAAAATATAAATATATGTACTATGTAGACGTAAAAGTAGGTAGCACAGAAATTCTAACAAAAATGATAATAATTCTTGCGGGTGCTTGAGCCCCGGAGCACCATAGAAGTCGGCACCTATGGTGTTTACTACGATAAGATATATCACATGTTACTTCATTTTTCAATAAAGACGAATTAGAGTTATTTACAACGTGCCTAATTTTGTAGAAATAATTCGTAAAAACAATAAAATTGAATAAAAAATGCTGAAGATAAAAGTAACAAAGTTGATGTTATTAATTTTAGTACAACTTATTATAAAAACTGTTCAAAATGACCACAAAGGTTAATTAGGCGAAGAAATTTAAAGGACACCCTTTGCAGTTCTTGAAGGCAACTTTTCTTCAGTGTTAGATGTGGAAGCATACATTGTTGTTTTCAGAGTACCCGAAAGATAATAGTCGCAAGGTATTAACTCTGGTGAAAGTACAGGCCAATTAACAGGATTAACAGGATTATACCTTCTACTGATCCATCGACGAGGGAATCTTTGGTTCAGATACTGCCGGACATTTACAGTGAAATGTGGTGGAGGTCATGCATGAACCACTTGTTAGCTCTGAGTAATAACGGCACACCTTCCAATAACTCGGGTAGTGTTTTGCAAAAATGCTAAGTAAAATTCCCCATTCAGTTTATTGGGTAGAATATCAGGGTCAATAAATAATGCTATCAATGCGTTGTTTTTGATTTTTTTTCCAATTTTTTGAATAAAATTAGACACATTGTAAATAAGTCTAATTCGTCGTATGTGTGTATCCATATCGAAAAAATGAAGTAATTAACAGGTGGTATATCTTATCGTTGTATCACCTATCAGATAAAAAATAGTTGTCATTATTGCCCGAAAGAGGAAAAAGTTATGACCGGATATTATCACCATACATCAATTTTGTAGGAGTTGTAAATTTTAAAAAACACTTTGTATGGCACCAAAATGTGTAGATTGAAAGCAAAAAAAAATTTTCACCAACTTTGAGGCCATTTAGCGGCTAAACTAAGCGATTTCGGATATAGGTGAATTGGCCTGACTCTGCCTATTTTGAGCCCACGAGTCTGTGGTCTTCCGTTGTATAGGTTATTCTTGGACACCCTGTATATAAAAAAGTTGGTATTTCCGTAAATTTCAGTACCTAAAACCTAGATGGTTTGATCGTTTTTTGTACCTGTATATTTGTTTTACTACGGCGTCTTTGAAAATACTCAGATGACATGACATAACATTCCTGTTATTTGATAAGCTTCAAATTATTCAGTTATTAAATTGCTTACATTACTTATCTTTGTGGAAAACACTATTTCAGGAATATGGCGCCCATAACAATATAAAATTGTGGTCTTTATTATCATTTATCTTCCTTTGGGCATTTAGGTATACGATAGTGATATTAGCTACCGCTTGGATTTACCCATTATGTAATAGACATGAACATATATTCGTCGAACCTTGTGTTCCAAGTAAAAAAATTCAATTTTTGCATTATTTATAAGGTATAGTTAATTATTAGTAATCAAAAACAAGTTTAACAATAACTACGTAAATAAAATTTTGAAATAGTTCGTGGAATATGTACAATAGATATATACTTTTTTAGGATTACAGTAATATATGAAATATAAGATTTGATGGATCTACTTCCAATGATAAGAAAGACATGGCCTTAATTCACGTCTGACCTGGGGAGAGATTGGTTATGCTCAGTGGAAACCACGCTAAAGGCAAAAACGAAAATCTAAAAAGGCTGATTATCAGGTATTATTAGGCTTTTACTAACATTCCCGTGTACAAATTACCTTTTGTTTCTGAGAAATAAATTAAATATTATAAATAGAAAAATATAATATAAAAATATAAATAGAAATATATAGCCTCTCAATTGAGCTCGTACGAAATTTGATGAAAAAAGTATTAACTGATAATTGTTAAATTAATATCAACGATTTTTATCACTACTGTTCTTTTTAAACAGTGTACATACATTAAATAATTAAATAAACACATAAAATGTCCACCAATCTGCTCTTTTTACTGTTCGCTACCAAATTAAACACTTTTGAATTTTAGTGGACGAATAGTTTACTAATAATTATGAATAAAAAAAAAATTACAAATAATTACATAAGTCATGAAAACATACACAAAAATTGCAGCTTCAATCTCAAATTTTTGACATTTACCTCAAAGTCTCCCGATATTCTCTTCTTTGTTGGACCTACTTTGTATATTTTTAAGTACCTACAGACACAAGGCTAACTAACATTTAAAAAGATCATATTACTGAACATTTTAAGTAATTTATTCGTGATAGCTTAACCTGTAACGAACAGAAATGATAAAGCATATTAATTTAAGCAAAAATATTTTTTCAGAAAATATGGTACAAATCTAATTTGGGGAGTGAAAATTCAGAGGAAGTCGGATTTTAAATAAAAATAAAAAGCAGGCTTTGATAATAAATTCAAATTCCATGTGAAGTAATAGTTTTTTAAGCTCTATCTTTCAAACAGAAACCATAATTAAATAGGATAATAAATATTTTTTATACGTTTGGTATTCTTTTATTTTAACAAATAGCTATAACAAACCCTTATATATTTTTAAATCGCCACTCAAATTCTATCAATTGACATTATTAGATCGTCTCCATGGTAAAACAATATATCAAAATTGCCATAGTCAACTATTTTTGTTCAAATGACACACTATATATATATCTTTTTATCAATTCTGGAAGATATTTTTTTTCTGCGTTCAACTATGTAAGGAAGTCGATAGTTTCATTAGAAATATTGCTAGAAAAACAGCAAAAATGATGAACACTACTTTTCGTAGCTTTATTCTGAAAAATGATAGCCAGCTATGGAAACAAGCTAGGTACTATATTTTTGAGAGTAACATATTTTTTTCTTTAATACGATAATAATATAACAATTTAAAACAATACTTATTTCAAATGTTCAAAATGACCTCCATTTGCTTCAAACAGAGAATAGCTCTGTTTATCACTTTCTCTCTCTCTCTCTCTATAAACACTTTCTAGTGTTTCTTCATTTAATCCCAGACATTCTACTCTTATTCCGTTTTTAAGGTCCTCAATATCATTTAGATAAAGCCAAAGAAAGAAATCTATAGGAGTGAGATCCGGAGATCTAGCAGGCCATTCAGGGTTTAAAAATTCTTCTTTTCTTTTAAAAACTTCCATCTGTCGCCAAATTCCTGGTTAACTTTTCGAACATTTTATCTGATGGAAGTTGACTGCGGAAAACGATGTTGGTATAATACCGGCAGTTTTAGCGTTCCTTCTTCCCTCTCCATAAATTAAAATCATATCTAGTATTTTAGAAACGTCAAAATTCAGTTGTTTCCGCAGCTGGCTATTATTTTTCAGAATAAAGCTACTGAAACTACGGTTCATAATTTTTGCTGTTTTTCTAGCAATATTTCTAATGAAACTATAGACTTCCTTATATAGCTGAACGTAGGAGAAAATATGTTCCAGAATTGATAAAAAAATATATAGTGTGCCATTTGAACAAAAACAGTTGACTATAGCAATTTTGACATATGTTACCATGGAGACGATCTAATAATGTCATTTTATAGAGTTTGAGCGGCGATTTTATAGGGTTTGTTATAGCTATTTGTTAAAATAAAAGTGATACGAGGCCGCGAATATCACACTGAATCACTCGGTATAAGGCTGTTTCTGAAATAAGATACTGTAGGTGTGTCATAATTAGGTGTAAAAAATGTAACCCAAGCTTTCTCAGAACAAATTAAAACAACCGAATACCTCAATATGTATTAAATGCTTAGAAAACATATATTTTTTAATTTTTTTATGGTATTCATTAATTCACGTCACATTTTAAGACATTTACTTAAGATATAAACGGCGTTTACAACACTTTTAGTACTTATTTCTTTTTCAATTTTTTTGTTGGTAGATTTTGAGAGAATTTATCACCACTCAAAACAGATATAGACTTTAATTTTGGGCTAGGTCTTAAAGCGTGTCCCCAAAGCAGGATTTGCATTGTGCGCCATTTTCATTTCGAAGAGTTGGCGGCATTATGCATAGAGTATGTAGCTGATACTGTGCACAAAATACGTGGAAAATATTGCCACGGTGCGCCGTTGGTCACTGTATTTAAACATTTCAAAATGCACAATGCAGCGGATTTTAACAAAAGATCTGCATGTGCATCCATTCAATATTCAGCTAACCCAGGCATTGAAACCAGTCGACCATTTAATGCGCCGGGCATTCGTTGATTGGATGTTGGAGAATTAAAAAGCAGACGGTGATTTTGCTAAGAAAATCATCTTTAGCAACGAGGCTCATTTCCGTCTTAGTGGGTATGTGAACAAGCAAAACTGTCGAATTTTGAACAGAGAATCCTCGGGTCATTCAAGAACGACCACTGCATACCCAAAGAGTGAGTGATGTGTATTTTACGCCGGTGCAGTAATTGGTCCCATCATTTATAAAAATGAGACTGGAAAAACGCAGTAACTGTCAATGGAGATATCGAGAGATGCTACTGACCCTTTTGTGGTCTCATTTGGATGGCATGGATTTGGATGACGTATGATTCCAGCAGAATGGTACCACCTGCCATACGAGAAACTAACTAATACTTGTTACGTCAGAAATTAGATGGACGACTCGTCTCACGTAACAGTGGAGTGACTTGGTCACTTATGCCATACGACTTATTCCTGAGGGGATTCGTAAAGTTCAAAGTTTATTCTGCTCAAATGAATATCACTCATGGATATAAAGGCAGAAGTTATCAACGAAATTCAACCGAAGGTATGCGAAAGCGTGATATAATTTTTTCTTTTGAAAAGAAGGCCGAGTGTGCCAAATGAGTCGCGGGGGATATCTATCCGATATCCTCTTTCATATTTAAAAGCAATGTCTACCCTTAAAAATATGTAAAAACTTGCCAACTTTTTAATTAATACCATCTTTTTTCTTCATATGAAATCCGCTATTTCTTTTGGGACACCCCTTATGTCCAAACACCTATATTCCAGTAGACATTGACTCTTTTAATTGTATAGAAATGAATAGAGATACATAGTAAAAACATTTCATTTGATTGTAACTTTACCGCAACATATTTCAAAATCACTAGTAACAAAAAATCATGTTAAGAAAAACCCAAAAAACTGTTTAAGGTTCTTCTTATTGTTAGTTATGTTCTAGGTAAAAATTGAGTCAATATCAAATTCGGTTGCTTAAAGAAAACTGTATATCAAATTTCATTGCAATAATTTTAAAAGTGATAGTTATTTTAAAAAAAAGAAAAGAACAAATTCTTTTGAAGGCCGATAACTTTTAGGGAAGAAAATTTACTAAGACTTGATTCCAAATCTATTATGTTTAGGGACAGTCTTATTTATTTGTCCGCTGCCTACGCGTTTCTTATACATATATGCAGTAGGCTAGAGATAATTAGTGGAATTATTTTCTCGACTTAGGTCTTTTTCATACATTTTATATATAAAAAACCAAACCTAGCCGAACTTATCAGCTTAATTTTTTTTATTAAAAATTAAGATTAGCGGGCGAACGGGAAACCTCGAAGCAAAGTGGATTGGCTGTCTCTACATACTAAATATACTTAGTTTCATTTAAGAATACAAAATTTGAAGTATGGTGCATTCGCTTCCGGCAGTTGCGGTTGGCGAAAATTAAATTGATTTTATTTTGATAATAAAGTATGGCACCCATATTATTTTTAAGGGATGTTTTTAGGCATACAAAGAAAAGTTTCATGAAGAAAAATTGCGAAATATTTATTATCTTTTTTTAATTAGTGGTCGTCGACCTTGGGACCTCGAAACGGGTTCCATATATATATATTTGCAGAATATCTTTTTCGTAATCAACTGATAGACATAAACAACTGTTTTTTATTTTTCCTCCAACAAACGGTATGGGTCTTCTTAAGCTTCGTTATCAAACTATTACAAATCTTAATTTTTATCACCAGCCGCCACTGGTGATTCTGTCACCCTTGTTAAGAGTCTGTTCTCTGTACACTGCTAAGGTATCGCTGCGGGGTCGGGTGCACGGGCGTTACAGCTGGAGGCGGAGACTATCGCTCTCCCACTACGATGATTTTACAGTGGACGTATTTAGGTTGATTTAAACGTGAAACTAACGTTACAATTTTTACTTCAATAATTGTGTCAATTTAGAATTAATACAATTATTGTACCGCAATTGTACAAACAAATTTCATCGCAATACAAAATTGAATAACCGACATCCCGTGGACGTCAATTTAACGCTCCTTCTCTTTTTTGGTTTTATGAGAAAAAGTTATTCTTGATGAAGAGTTCTGCATGGCCTAAAATCCAAAATGAAATAATCAGATTTCAATTTTTTGCAGTCGTATACGAGGTTTGTCGAAAAATGTAAATTTTGCTCAAGAGTAAAGTACCTTTATTTTTTAAAATATCGACAATCGTTATTTAAAGTTGATCCAAATAGAAAACTACGGTCAGGTATCCAATATTATCCATTTACCATTAAAAAACAGATTTTGTTATTTTTACAAACTCTTCTCCGTATTAGCATTGATAATTTACGTCTAGAGATAGACATTAAATCTAACAGGTAAGGTAGTCGGATTTTTGTAATTTTTGATATTTATGGTATGTGTAGTTTGGACCTTGAATAACAATTTTTCGAAGTAGTTCTACGCTACGTTCATAATTTACCGAGATAATCGATT